GCCAATGCTATGTTGAGCAAGCTCACTGACTCAGGAGTCGTCAGATGAGTTGCGCGTTGCTATCAAGGCGTATGAGGCTCAGGTTCGAGCTAGAACGGCTCTCTTGGACTCGGGAGCTTCACATGCGTTTCGTCCTCTACGAGAAGGAGAACTGGACAAAACGACCCCTATCAAGGTCGAGCTCGCGGGCGGCCAAGAGACATGGCTGCGCCAGACCAAGGCGGGCACACTTGTGCCAAGCTCACATGATGATGGAGCCGCGGTTGGGTCTATAGTTCCTCTTGGGGCTTTGGTCCAGCAGCTCAATTGTACGCTTACATGGAGCAAGGATGATGGTTTGGTTATTAATCACCCCTCCTACGGCAAGATCGCAGCTCAGACAATTGGCAATTGTCCTGTGATTTCTGAGGCCCAGGCGCTTAGCCTGATTGCCGAGTTGGAGCAAGCAAAGGTGAATGAGCTAGAGGGCCACGTGTCAGATGGCCAGCTTCGTGTCCTCAATTGGGACCTCGAGGAGTTGAGGAGCTGGGAAGGTGCAATGGCTACCTATGTGGCGACTGGGAAAAGGCACCATGGATTGGAGGCCTTGATGATGCCGTCTTTTCCTTTTGGTCAAATTGATGAGTCGATTCGAGGCTTGTTGGTGGAGGACGTGGACCTCTCAGATCAAGCTGGGTGGAACTACTTGAAGGCTATGCCAATTCGAAGAGCTATGAGGAAACGGCTTTTTCGAACTTCGTGGATTGTCCACTTGTATGCAGGGCCCTACGACAAGAAGTCCGACAACTTGAAGGTCACCGAAAGGGATGGTGTTACCGTGCTGGAGCTGGACATTCTTAGAAGCAGCCTGTTTTCTTTGAGAGGGCAGAGTTCAGCTTACAAGCTTCTGTTGTGGGCTGCGCTTCGAGGTCAAATCGTTAGCGTGGTGGGTGGCCCGCCGAGGGACAGCGAGTCTATGGAGTTGATTTATAAGCAGTTGTTTCTATGGACAGCGGCGGACAAGGCAATGAGAATGATGCGGTTGCCAGCCCCCGGCTTCATGATGGAGCTTCCTGAAGGCCATGGTTTTTGGAAGTCGGAAGTTTGGAGCAAGTGGAGCCACGGTTTACGAATGCCATCCTGCTACGTCTCAGCGGGGATCAACGAAGGTCAGTACAAGGTGGCCACGAACCTCGATTTCTACAAGGCCCTACCGGTTGAAAGGGCAGCCTCAAGGGATGTGCCAACCTGGTCCCCTTCTTCATGGACAACAACCTTCAAGGACCAGATTTGCGATGCCTTGCAAGCTTGGTACAAGGAACCAGATCTACCACGACTTGTACGAATGCTGGCCAAGTTTGAGGGCAACTACGACGAGATGAGCCTTGCAGATTTGAAGAAGTGGGCTCTACATGTTCGAAATGGGCATGTGCCTTTTCATCCTCGTTGCCAAACTTGTGTATCAACGAGGGCGACTGGAAGGAGACATCAACGCGTCCGATCACCGTCCTCCTATGTTCTCTCCCTTGACATCTCCGGTCCCTACCGCGTGAAGGGTGAAACTGGAACTCGCAAGGACTTCCGCTACGTTCTTGTCGGCGCCTTCATGATCCCGAAGATCTACAAGGACTTGAAGGAGGGTGACGGCGAGAAAAGGAACGAGGAAGGTGCGAGAGATGAGGCCAACGGCACCAGTATGAAGGAGGACTTTGAGTGTTCAGAGTATGAGCCTTCGGAGCCTGGAAGTGTGCTCAAGGAGGGCGTTGTGACAGATGAGGTTGAAAGGGACGAAGTTGAGGGTGGAATTGGCGACTTCGGCGACTACGAGGACTTGTTCGAGGAGGCCAAGGTGAGTTATGACTACGTCAAGGACCCACTTCCTGAGGAGGAACTTGACAAGACCAACAAGGAGTTTTGGGATGTCTACAAGGAAGTGGGCGACCCTCCTCAGATGCAAGTGCTGCAGTATGCCATACCGCTGGTTACGCGACGGTCGTCTGAGGTCAACGCTGCAATCAGAACAATGATCTTGAAGATCAAGGCAGAGGGATTTCCAGTGGTTCGATGCCATTCAGACAGAGCGAGGGAGTTAACGAGTGACTCTCTAAGGGCCTGGCTCGTTGAACGGGATATACTCCCAACTACGGGAGAGGGCCAAGCGCCGCAGCAGAACGGCCGGGCTGAGGCTGTTGTCAAGGGCCTGAAGGGCCGACATGCGTCTGGTTTGCCAAGACAACTGTGGCCGATGGCTATGACCTACGCGGCGTTTGCTCAACGAGAAACGGCATTCAACAGACAAAAGAGCCTCCTCCCTTTTGGCACGCCTACACATATTCGTACGAAGGTTTATGGGGCTGGTGGGAAACACGACCTGGAATTGAGATGGGCCAAGGGCCGTTATGTTGGGCCAGCTCAAGATATTCCTCGCGGAAGTGTCGTTCGGCTGGATGAGGGTGGCTATGTCACTTCGGTCCACCTTCGTCCACATCTTGTGGACGCAGACCACCTGGTTGATTTGGTTCCCCATGAAGTCGACTTGGACTTCTCAGAGTCTGTGCGAGCAAGAACGAAGGAGAAAACAACACCTACCACGAGGGCTGCTCCCCGACTACCACCAGGCGCTTATCCTACCGGGCGGATATCTTCGTTGCAGATGAGGCCTCTTACCGAAGAGGAGGAGAAGGCTGAGTCGTTGGCCAAGCAGCTGGAAGAAGACAAGCTGTATGGTGTGGACAATGTCTTGAAGCTGTACGAGAAGCTTGAAGCCTCAAGGCAGAAGAGCAGCCGAGGGGGATCATCTATGTGGTTCACGGGTGCTTTTGTTAGAGGAGGAAAGGCTGGCTTGAGACTGGGAACTACAAGAATGCCTTGGTCTACCAGATATCTGATTGGAGCAGCGCGGCATCTGACAGGCTACGAGGACTTCACAGCAGTTGGTGTGGCTAGAAACCCCAAGTTCGGCTACCACAAGGACAGCCACAATGAGGAGGAGGCGGACAATGTGGTGGTCGGACTCAACGATGTGAAGACTGGAGGTGGACTGTGGGTACAAAACGAGGATCTGCATCAAGCTGAAGCGGACTGGCGGCAAGTGACCAAGAAGGTTATGTGCAAGGGAGAAGTTCGAGCTTTGGGACGGGGAGACGTCACGAGGTTTGCGCCGAGGTTGTGGCATGGTGCAGAGCCCCATGAAGGAGACCGCTATATCATGATCACGTACACCCCTCGAACCAGGGCTTTGTCAAGAGAAGACAAGGAGGTCTTGGGAAGCCTTGGCTTTACTTCTCCAGCACTACGTGAAGGAGAGCAATGTGCGCCGACTACAACATCAGCATCTACAGGTCAGCTCGACTCACTCACCGCAGAGGAAGGTCGTGGTGACGAGGACTTTAGAGTTAGAAGCACGCCGACTACAACGTCAGCATCTGGTCAGCTCGAATCACTCACCGCAGAGGAAGGTCGTTTATATTTGATTGATGAGCACAGCGCTGGAGGTCCTTTATATCCAGATGATGAGCACAGCGCTGGAGGTCTCAAGCCAGTTCCTATATGGGCACAGGATTTCAGCTCCGAGGACGAGGTTCAGCAGCCCAAGGTGTGCTTGTTGAAGTCCAAGCAGGAAGCGCAGATTCCAGAGCTTGAAGGGCCCCTTCGTGCAGTGATCGAGGACCAAGAAGGCTTGATCGAAGAGCTATCAGAGCGGGCAGCTTCTCTCAGGAGACTCCTTGAGGAGGAGGAAATCTTAGCCGAACAGGTTCGCCGAGCTGGAGAGTCTGTCCATGATGAGGCCTCGCATGTGCGGGACTTGGTGGAGGATATGCTCGATGAGGTAGGCAAGGGCTTGGAGCATTGTCAAGTGCAACGAGAGCTGCGGTGCTTAAAGGCGATTCAAGCTGGGGAGCAGACTACCGAGGAGCCAGACTACGAAGCACTTCTAGAAGGACTACAGCGAGACCTAGAAGTTGTTTATACGGTTCCGCTGAATCAGGTCAAACCCGTTGTGGAGCGTTGGCGAGATGCTATCTCTGCAGAAGTGACTGGGCTCTTCGAAGGCACCCTCAGGAGCATCACCATCGAAGAAGCGCGGCAACTGGAGAAGCAGGGGCGCTTAAAGCTGGTGCCGAGCAAATCGGTGTGCACGCTTAAGCCCCCGAGTGAGCCAGGGTCCAAGAAGCGGTATCGTCGGAAGTATCGGTTGGTGATCTGTGGAAATTACATTGATCGTCCTGACGGAGCTTCTGGAGAGAGTTTGTACGCCGGTGGGGCGTCAGCCGAATCACTTCGTGCTTCTCTAGCTTTGGCGGTGATCTTTGCGTGGACAGCTGGATCAAGTGACATCGCAAGAGCATTTTTACTAGCAGAGTGGCCTGCCCATATGCCCCTTTATGGAGTTTTTCCTCCGCGGCTATTGCTACAGACTGGACATGCCAAGCCAGGGGAAATCTGGCTGATCCAGAGACCATTGTATGGCCTCCGAGAGGCTCCAGCAATTTGGGCAGCTTTCCGAACAGACAAGTTGAAGGCCGCCAAGATTGACCTTGAAGATGGGACCTGGTTGGCGTTGGTTCAGTCAGTCGTTGATCCAGAAGTGTGGTTGGTGAAGCAGAGGTCGGCTAGCGATGAAGCTGGAATTCTGGTTGGGCTACTGGTCACCTATGTCGATGACCTTCTGTATTTGAGCAAGCCTTGGATTGTGCAGAAGCTACATGATTGGATTTCCAGTATGTGGCCTACGTCCGTGTTGGCTTGGGCAACAGATACAGAGGGTTTGAGATATTTGGGGGTGGAAGTCCAACAGTTAAAGGACGGCACCTTCAAGCTTGGCCAGGCTGGTTACGTGAAGGATGTCTTACGTGGCCATGGGATGCTGGATGCGAAACCTACATTCTTGCCAGCGCCAAAGGAATGGCTGGATGAGGCAGCAGCCTCAGAGCGAGCCCCCGAAGAGCATTCGGAGGCCCAGCTGAAGCACGCACAGCGTGTAGTGGGAGAGCTGATGTGGCTCACTATGCGTACTCGCCCGGATCTCCTGTTCGTGACGAGCTTCATGGCGAGCTTTGCCACGAAGCTTCCACTCTTGGTGGCAAGGGTTGGGGCGAGAGTCCACTCGTACTTGGCGGCAACCAAGGATGTCACCCTCCATGTGAAAAATCGGGAGGACGAGAGCTTCTACTTTGGGCCGGGCGTTAGCAGCAAAACAGCAAGCAAGCCACCAGCAGCAGCAGCAGCAGCAGTAGCACAGGGGTCTGAGCTTAGGCTAGTTGGGTATAGCGACGCGTCGTTTAGCCCAGCTGGTGGGCGCTCGTTCGGTGCTTGTCTGACGGTGATCAACGGATCTCCTGTTGCTTGGAAAGCTGGGAAACAAGCTTTTGTTACCCTTAGCGTTGCTGAAGCTGAGATGTATGAGGCGGCGCAAGCAGCGACACTGCTAGAAAGCATTGGGGTTCTCCTGGACGAGATCGCGGGTGCAAGAGTGCATCGACTTTTGCGAGTGGACAACAGTGCCGCGGTGTCCCTCCTAGGAGGAGCACCAGGCAGCTGGAGGACGAGACACTTACGGGTCAGATGGAACTACCTGCGGGAAAGAATCGACCAGGCAGACCTGGAAATCCAGCACTGTTCAGGCGCCTATCAACTGGCCGACCTGGCAACAAAGGTCCAGACCCGTGCTAGGATCAGTGACTTGATGCGGTTGTGGGGCTTTGATGGTTATCCTGCTGCGCCGGGCTACATCGAGTGCGTGAAGCTTGCTTTGTTGCTATGTATCCTTTGTGCGGTGCCTATCGCAACGGCTGTGGATCCAGAAGAGCATGTGAAAAAGGAAGCTTTACCAGCAAGCGAGTGGAGCGAGTTGCTTGTTTTCACGGGCGTTGTTTGTGTGATCACAATTGGGCTGTGGGAGATTGCCAAGCTGATCCTGAGGAGAATATCGAAGGGGCTAAGGCATGCGAGAAGAGAACGTACAAGGGAGCGCATCCGTGAGACGGCTGCTGTGGAGACTGAGCGAGAGCTACAACGAGTCGAGGGTGAGCCTACCTTGACCAGGAGATCAAGCTCCTCGCGGTCTCGTGTTCCAGAAAGCCCCAGGCTTTCCTCGGCGAGGGCTCCAGCGACTTCTCCCCCGTCGAGTCCGATGCCACAGACATCGCCTACTACGTCGTCCCCGAGCTGGGAACAACCCAGGCCTACGACACCGGAAGGACAACTTCACCTACCGCCACCCTCGGACAGACGACGCGTGACGCGAGACATGCTGAACTTACTGCAGGTGAGTGAGCTGCAGAAGGCCTTGAGGCTTCAAGGCCTCTTGGTGTCAGGTGTCGAGGAAGACCTTGTCAACAGATTGAGCGAGGTTTTTCTACCGTCTGCGATCGAGATTCCGAGCTACCTTCCAACAGAACGGCAAATGCGCTATGTACTCTGGATTTGGAGGCATCACAGTCTCAAGGGCAGAGTGCTACTGAGATGGGAAGATGTCTCCTCGAGAAGGGCAACTTCAGCATGGATTGAAGCTTGGAAGCATGGAGGCAATTAGCCTCATTCTGCAAGCCTAAAGTCGAATTCGCCATTTTGGCAAGACCCATCAACAAGGTGGGTGAAGCTACTGACCGGCAGGGAGCAAGTGAGAAGCTCCGCAGTCGCTCCTCAAGGAGGAGTGTTGAATGCTTCAGGTCTGATGATGCCTGTGTCTTTGCAGCGGTGGCTCAGAGAGCCAAGGCCAACAGCAGTGTCAGTAGCTTGCTACAAAAAGCATTTGCTACCCGAGCAGGCATGGCACAGAAAGCATGTAGCTCGTACGTAGCCTGAACTTTCAGCTTTGGTGTGAAAAAGATTTAGGAGCGCGTGTTCTTGCACCATGGACCCTGCTGACTCTGCCCGATTACTACGTACTACAACAGAAGACCAGGCTGATGTGCCTCAACAGGTTATGAGCCCAACGCTCAGCGTTGGTACAAGTCGGCAGGGGATGCAAGCGGCTGGACATGCTGTGCTCGCTGGCGAGGATCGTGGGCCAGACTACAGAGCTGGTATCGAGACTCAAGATGATCTTCAAGATAGACCACAGATGCCCAATGGTGTTCCATCAGCTGGTCAACCACAGCGCGCTGACAGACATGTGGAATCTGGAAGTGGTTTTCAGTCCCCAATGCCTGGTACAGATGGTGACTATGTGGCTGCAGAGGCTAGTTTGCCAGCGCAATCCGGACTTGGACGCATAACCGGACCGGGCGCGACGACGCACGATACGGGTTTAGGGCTTCAAGGGATTGGGTTAGCTCAGGCTCCTGCAGCAGTACCACAGCAGCAACAACAGCCATCAACCAGCACGCTACCAGCAGAAGGGCAGATCTTTGAGTCACCACGTACCTCAGCAGCAGCTATGCAGCAGCAGCAGCCCAGCTCGGTGCCTACTACAATTCAGCAAGATTTGAGTGCTGCGAGACAGGCTGAGCATCGTGATGATGAGACTCAGTCCAGGAGTCGAGGCCGTGGCCAAATGAGCCCGGCACCGCCTCTCAGCATTCCAGCTACGCTTCGTCCTGAGATGCAGGCGGTTGAGGAGGAGTTCGTGATGACCTCTACAACCTCGTCTCCTGACCGGAGGGGCGGGCGAATGAGAGCTCAGGAGGAAGCTACGTGGGGTTTTTCCAGGACGGGTCAGGCCTTTTATAGGAGAGTTATAGCTCCGGTGCTGGAGCAAGCAGGTGTGGTTACAGCACAAGCTCCACCACCAAGGGCGTTACCACCACCGATGGCGAAGTCTTCTCCTATGCAGCAAGGGGCCCCTGGAGGTCAGCTTATGCCACCCAACGTTCAGCAAGCTATGCGGGCATGGACAGCGAGGCCGAGTTTGTTGACTCCGAGGCCCCCGACCCAGCAGCGACCTCATGATGCAGTGTCCTCGAGCAGCTCGGGGCACCAAGAAATGGTGGCGGAGGAGGTTCGTCGTCAGGTTCAAGGTGCCCTACAAGCACGCGATGCAAGTATGAAGGCCTTGGTGGAAGAGAACGAAGAGCTAAAGCGGATGTTGGTGGTGCAAAACAGGGCGCTTGAGGCGCAGAGGGAGACAGGTCGGCCGATGTCAAGGCCGTCGCCACCTCCATTCTCTCACGGAGGAGTCGTTGGAACTGATGGACCGGATGTGGGACGCATTGGTAATCCAGGGCTGGAGAGATTGGGAGATTGTGGTCGCCTAGGTGGTCTTCCAGAAAACAGCCAAAGCGGACCTTTGCCTGGAGACGGTCAGGATGGAGCAGCAGGTGATCAGGGTTATCCCTGTGCCCCAGATGGCCAGCTGGGACCGGAAGGAAGTGGAGGAGGAAACACATGGGGGCTTCCGTCTGAGGGAGTCAATGCGCCTTCGTCTACAAACCGCCGGGAAGGACCGCCACAAACAAGTGCCACCGAGCCACTTCAGCTTCTTGTGCAAGGTATGCGCCAACTGCAGCAGGCCTACTTGGAGAAGAAGGACGGCCCAGAGCAGGAGGTGATCAAGGGCGGCATTGAGCTGCCAAAGCTACCAGAACCTCACGCCGATGGAGGTGTGGAGTTTCAAGATTGGGTCTACATGACAGAGCAGATGGTGGGTTCACTGACGGACAAGGCGGGTGCGTGGTACATGGCTACGCTGGTGTGTGCCAAGGAAGCGTTTGCGCGTTACCAGGCTGCCACTCCGTTGGACAGGCTCAACATAGCCCCTATCCTACCGGGCCAGCTCAGGGCAAAGCTTTGGGAGCGTTTGGATCGCAGAGTGCTCACGTTGGTGTTAGCAGCAATGCCACGCCAGGCCAAGGAAGATGCTGTTACCCATAGGGTGAAGACAACGGCCGATGCCTTGTTCAGGCTGTATGTCCTATATCAGCCAGGAAGCACGACGGAGCGCGCAGCGGTGTTGAAGCTACTTGAAGGAGCCCCAGCTGGAGAAAACCCGGAAGAGGCAGTGACTGCCTTGAGGAGATGGAGAAGGCACCTCAATCGTGCAGTCGACATGGGCATCACGCCACCCGACGCTTCCCTCCAGCTACGAGGACTTGATTTGATCATCGCCAAGGTGGTTGAGCGAGATGCTGGGCTATCTTTTCGTTTATCGTTGGCCCGGCACACCCTCCAGTTGCAGAATCGCCCGACCCAGGAGACCGTGTTGCAGTTCTATGACCACGCTCTTGCGGAGATCCAGCAGCTTGCGCCTCTCAAGGGGAAGTCTCAAGGTGGGCAAGAAGCAACTAAGCTCCGGGCACTTGGTGCATCAGCAGGAACTGGTGAGTCCACTTCCCCCACTTCTCCTTCGTCAGCAAAAGGGTCAGGCAAGGGGGCAGAGAAGACTCCTTGTAAGTTCTTTGCAAGTGATGCGGGATGTAAGAAGGGTGGAAGCTGCAAATTCGCTCACAGTTTCGCAAGCCGTGAAGGGAAGAAGTCGAGATGCTGGACGTGTGGTGCCCGAAATCATCGTCAGGCAGATTGCCCAGTGAAGCCGAAGACCAAGGACCCAGCAACACCCAAGGCCGCAGCAGTGCTGGCTGCTCCCCAGTCAGCGACATCTTCTATGACTTCAGCGGCCACTCAGCTACAGACTGCGTTGGCCTCGGCTTCCTCTACAATGCCCCAGCAAAGCACACAGTCCTCAACCTTGGATTCTACAGCAGCGGCAGCCCCCTTGACTACGACCTCAGGCCAACCTACAGGAACGTCGCAGCATGAGAATGAAGTCAAGGCCCTTCTCCAGGAGGCCAATGCTATGTTGAGCAA